GGGGACCCGCGGAGCGCCTGACCAGATATTAATATTCGTTTTCGAGCACAAATATAAACATAGGTATTAATACTAATATTCATATTGATGTTATGCGTATTGTTTTTGTCATCATTAGTTCTTCTTCTTCTGTTTCTTAGCATTATTAAATTAACATCATTATTAGTTTTTGTCTGGAGCAGCTTGTCGAAGTGGGGGAGGGGCTCCGGATTAGGGGCTTCGTGGTTTCGGGGTTTCGGGAGTTTCGGGGCATTGCAGGTCAAAAGGCATTCGGGGTTCAAGCCTGAGCCCCAAACCCTAAGCCCTCAACGTTAACGTGCAGAGGAAAATGGGTGTAATAAAAGCCTTGTAACTTAACCCCCAAAGCCCTGGCGAGGTTGAGGCTCTCTCCAGCCGCGTCTCGATGCAGATCCGGTGCTGTGCATGGGCTGCAGCAAGTCGGAGAGTGAGGGCATGTCTCTTTCTTAGCCTGCTCTATCGGCTAGAAACTCGAGTTGCAGCTTTGCCGGTAGGATTGGTAATGCTGCTGACATGGCTCGCACACCCTGTGATGCCCCGGAGGTGAGCAGACGCTGCATCAGATTCGGGCAGCTGGGGGTGCAAACTCCGGACTCCTTGTGCCCTGGGTGCAAGGCTATGGAGCTCCGAAGGAAGCTTAAGGAAGAGGCTTATCCACTCATTTTCAGCTCTCAGTGGATTGAGGATGCTGTTGATCATGGTGGTGATGATGAGGATGAGGATAAGGATGTTGGTCATTGCAGGTCTCTGTAGCCTGCATCGCGAAGTCTCACGAAACAGGCAGGGCATAGCATCCGGACTCGTGAACACTCGGGGCAGGTTAAGGGCTGCAGTGCTCCTTGTTGTGCTGTGTGTGTGTGTGTGATAACCCGCTCTTGCCAGAGACCTGGATGCAGAATGGACGGAGCCTGGCAGCCTCCTTTATCGCAACACGTTCCTTACGAGAAAGTCCGAAACTTGCAAGGGCACGATCTGCTCACTTCTGGCAGGACTCTCTGGTTTCGAGATCTCAGCTACAGTCTAGAGCAATTCGGAGGTGTTAAGTCAGGATGAAGGGTATTCGGTGCATGGTGGTGTCCCATTGAGGCGCCCCTAATTAAACAAGCAAGATTCCGGAGCCCAAATTCGACACCTCTTCAACCGAAGACCCAACTCCTTGCCTTTCATGCCGATTTTCTTGGAATCGAAATGCTCTGGACCCGTGCTAAGCAGAACGGCTCGGCTTGACCAGATGGGCAAAGTCACACCGGGTTCTCAATCAGCAACTCGGTCTCAGGGATGTAGAACCAGGGTCTCTCTCTCCCTCTCTCTCTCTATATATCTATATCTATCTATCTATATATATATATATATGGGGTTAGGGGCAAAACCAGCCCCTAACCCCTGGCCTAGACCTTCAACTCTGAGCCTGCGGTAAAACCCTAAGCCCTAAACCCCTCTCCCTAAACCCCCAAGCCATCAGCAACCCTGCACTGCAAGGAAAGGCCCGAACCGCCCAGGATGGGGAGTTCCGACAGAATGTCCAGCGCAACCTGGCGTCGCAGCTGCAGCAGCTCTCGAAGCAGTGCCGCGAGGTGCGGAAGAGTCTCTTGGGATCTTGCGATTTAGCATTTAGACGATAGACCCCACCTTCTTGTGTTGGAAGGAGTATTCCTCAGTCACAGAATGCTCGTTGCTGCTGAGCCTACTGAGGGCAACTTAGTGCTTTAGTCGTGAGGCTGCGGTTTCTAGGCATTCGTGAGACCAGTTGTGTTCCTCTGTTTCCGTCGAACTGAACTGCTAGCTGGCCCGAGAAATGCAAGCAGGAAGCACGGCTGCGTATCTGTTTGGGTAGTGCACCGTACTCCTTTATTGCACTAGTGCGATTAGAAAGAAGTGTAGCATTAACAAAGCAGAGCCGTGCGGATAAACGGGCTCCTAATGGTCGTCATAAGAAGCAGGGTAGCAAACGCGACAAGCAGTGCTATTGACCACCAGAACGTGCAGAGTGGCACTTACACGGATTACAACTCCTCAGGATCGAAGCGTTCCCAATCAAAGTAGAAATACGGCCCGTAGAGCCAAGTAAGAATCCCCAAGGACCCGGACCCCAACTTTGCACTACAAAGTTGAAGCTTCAAGGCATTGTTATAGACCGATGAACATTGCCCCTTGTCCTGAAGTGTTGGCTTGAATGCATTCCTGGGCGGCCTCTAAGCCACTTCGTTTGAGCAAGCTCCCCTGTCCCCAACTCGCAAGGCACAGCGGGCCTACCTCGCTGAGCTGCGCCGCCGCCACGCTGTCGCGGAACCCGCGCGTGCCTCCCAAGGAGCCCAAGGAGCGGTCGCTAGTTCGCGGACGAACTGCGACTAAGACGAGGTCGAGACATAGGCCGCCCAGGAAGGAAGTGTTCAGGTGCTCAGGACGTTTACCGACGCTTCTCCCTGAATTCGAGAAGCGAGGCGAAGCTGTTGAGCCCGTCAGCAATGATAGGACGTCGGTTTGAGAAGGCCCACAACACATGAAATACGAATCACTTAACTTTACTGACCCGGCGAAGGAGAAGGCGGCGCACCGCCTGCGGCACCGGTTCAGATGCAAAAGCAGCTGCAGGAGAGCGACGAATTTGTGCGGGTCCAGGCAGTGTCTCCTCAACCATCGTGCATTGTCAACCCCAGATCAAGGCGGCAAAGGATGGGGGGGGCGATTGCACTGTGCCCAAGCTAGCAGCTAGCATTGAAAAAGAAAAGGAGTCGTTTGTGGCAGGAGCTAGATGACATGGAGCTCGTGGCTGCCCAAAGGAGCGCTCAAACTGTGAGGGTTGAGTTCAGGGGTTTGGCCACGCGGAGATGCGGATTTGCAGTAGGACCCTGTAGGAATCCAGGCGTACCGAAGACTAAATGGCAACTCGTGCAAGGCCTAGCGAGGGCGATACTCTCAGGTGAGTACTAGCACCAGCAGAGAGAACGATTCTCGTTAGAGTAGATCCCTACGTGAACTTCATTGGACTGCCAATTCTCCCGTCCCGGGGTGCTTCGACCTCTGACCCAATGCTAACCACAGCAAGCTCTGAAGCCGCGCCCGAGATGTTTAAGATGCCACCCGAGGAGCAGCGAAATCGCCCAGATCGCCTCTTCCGTCGTGGAGCTGAACAGGATCTTCAAGGAGCCCTGTTCGTGGCTTCTTCGGGTTGAGGGGGCTTGAGGTACAAAAACCTGTCTGGTCTAAGCTTTGGATCAGCAAAGCACTGAGGCTTCAGAAGGGTTGCCTCCAGCGGCTTTGTGTGTGTTTGTTTATGCTTGTGGGCCGGGCTGCATTTCTGCTCTTTCTTGAGGGCCTTGGCCTGTGATTCCCGAGGGCATCTCGGCAGCCGCACACTAGGAGTCTCATGGCACATGCAGATCGCTTTTGTGCGAGGTTGTCCCGTCAGATCTGTCAGTCGTACCTAGAAACGCCAACCCCGAACCATTCAAGGACTGTCAGGCCAGACATGGTTCCTTCAACAACCCGAGCCTTCTTTCAAAATCCGCCTTGGCAAGATAGTCCCCAAAGGGAGTGTGAGCACTGTCCGCCTTTCAGGCATGCTGCAGCTGCAGTCCTCCATGAAGTGTCGGTTTTTGCAAGGTTTTCCGACCGTCCCAAAACCCTCGCTGTGGAAATAAGGCTTCAATTTTCCGGTGTTTTGAGAGGTTCTGCTGTATCTGTTTAGTCTATGTTGCTGGCTTTCGGGTTCTGAGGTAACTTCCTTGGCACCGGTGAACTGTAACCAGGACCTGGCGGCTTTGGTCATTGATCAGGGTACTATCCTGGACCGAATAGACTGCAACGCAGAGAAGATTTTCCAGAGGCCTCTTGTTTGCGGGGGCGTATAGGTGTTGAAGCTCCCTTGTCAATTGAAGTGGTTCCCGATGCTTGAAGTCGGTCAATCTCGCCCTAAGCCCGAACGGCTGTCTCCTTAGTCCAAAACTGGGGAGATTGAAAGCCCTGTGCCTGCAAAACCCAGAAAGGTTTGGACTCGGCCCAATACGAATAAGAGCATCCTGCCGGATGTTGAACGGTATGTGGCAGCCCTGAGACCCTTGTAAAGGAGTGCACCACACCCGAAACCCTACCCTGGGATTGCTGTTGCACCCGGCACGGAGAGTCAAGGACTGAAAATGCAGTGCTGTGGTAGTAGCTAGTAGAAATAGGATGGCAACAACCGCAAGAGCAAGATAATGGCCAGCAGCAGGACAGCTTGCTTTGATTCTCAAGGCATGTGCCGTTTCTCCGCGAGCACCCTGAACCCTGCAACTCGCTTGTATCGTGTTCAGACCTTGCCTGCTTGCCTGCCTTGGTGCGGGAGTCGGAACCCTAGCTCCGAAACCGTAGCAGGAGGGAAAAGGGCCTGTTGTGAGAGACCTCGGCTGGCTTGTCCGAGTTGTGAGACCGTAAGCCCTTTCAAAGTTTCACCTGACCAAGGAAACCCTGAAATCATAAACAATCCCAGTGCCGGAATGCCAAAACCTGTCGTGGAGAGTTCAGGTGTGAGTCCAAGCCTTACACAAGACAAGAAACGAAAAAGACAACATAGCGCTGACTGGCTCTTGACAGGTCAGACGAGGCCAAAGGTCAACTGCAGAAAGCCGTGGTCCGTAAGAAGGCCAAAGAGCTACGCATCGGGGGGTTAGAGAGGTTTAAGGTCTAGGCTGGTTTAGGGCTGCGGGTTCGAGAGCTAAAGGAGTTTGGGCATGCCTGGACATTTTTTGGGGCTCTGGTGGGGGTTGCGACAGAATTTAGGGTCCGGGATATAGGGAGGGAGGCCTGGAGTTTGGGGTGAAAGCCTGGTTGATGACAAGAACATCCACAGGAACCGCATCAGCCGGAAGTGGCAAGACTGTTCCCGAATCAAGAAGTGGTAGACCGACAGTTCTCAAGAATTCAACCGGTACTGTAGTATTGACAGTAATGACCACGCCGACGATCACCTCACAATAACAATCACAGTCGGAAGAAGATTACTGCGCAAACGTTCGTGTTTGCATTAATAGCAATAGTAATGCGCCGCTTCGCGACACCAACAGCAGCAGCCGCGACAATTTTTGGTAAAAATAGTAGTTTGGGAAAGCAGCAACAAGAACGCTAGCAATGACATTCGTAGCGGCAGCGGTGGCAGCAGCAGCAGGAATATGAGTAGGAAGCGGAGTAGAGGGCAAGCTACTTCGATGCAACAAACGAGTGTAATGTGGAAGGATCCACGCATCTCTGCTGCACTGCTCACTGCTCCTTGTCCCGAGACCTAGAAGATTGTTTTGACCTTGAACCCCTGGCTTCTGAATCCTAAACCCTATCCCATGCCTCGCCTGGAGTGTGAGCGCCGAAACCCTATCCGAGCATCCCCCGAAGGAGAGCGACTCCCGTGCTTGGTATTGCCTCCTGGTCAGGGCCTCAGAGATCTTCGGAGCAGGGGAGCATCGGAACAAAGGGCTCCGGCCTGAGGGAACCTCGGACTGCTCTTCATGGTGCCTACTGGTAGGAGGCCATTCTCTTCAGGCTAGCCGATGGCTTTCGGTGCCTTTTGTTATGGGGGCTTCCAGGCCTAACCTGATCTGCAACGCAGAACTCTCAATGGCAGCCCTCAGAGGCAGCCGATGACAGCTTCCAAGGTGTGGGGAGCTGCAGATGCAGTTCTGCTGCTGGTGCTCCTCATCAAGTACCAGCCCCCTGGCTGGGGACTTGAGCCCAGTGCAGTCCCGAAGCCGTGGCTCGCAAAGCCCAGCCCCAAACCCCCCAACCCTCAGTGATCTACCTGAAACCCGAGACACTTAAGACTTCGGCAGGCCAGCTTTCAGAACCCAAGTCGCCAAAGTTCAACTTGAAACTGAAGCTTGTGCGCTCCTCCCGACCCTGTGCCCTGAACCATCCCCTCCATTTCCCGATCTTCGGTGATCTTGTGACGTGTGGTTTGTTCGACCACGGTGTTGTGGGTTTGCAATCTGCGCTCAGATGTTGATTCAGGGTTCGTGAGGTTAGTGATTGCTCTAAGAGGTGACGCTTTCGGAATGTGGGGTTTCTAAAGGCTTGAGGTACGAAGGATTACAAGCTGCACCCCGCAAGAGAATGTTGAAAGAACGAATGACGGTAGCGGCAACGACGGCAAATGATGGCAACAACCATTCGAGCAATATCTCGGAACAAGCACCAACGACGGAAATGATGGTCGTCGCAGTCGCAGTGCGTATAGTAATGGTGGTGCTGGAAGCCAGTGATGTTGCTAGGGGCTGACATGACAAGGGGTCACGATATGAGTCTTCCTGGAATCGGAGACACACCATCGCCTGCTTCTGCGACGTAGCCAGAATCTGCAGTACGATACGCCGAGGCTGAAGTACGGCTTGAAGAATGTCTTGATCTTCGTGCTGGTGGCCGGTGCCCTTATCACCGCCTTCTACTGCTGGCTGCGCCACTGCCGGCCCAAAGCCCTGGAGGAGCCCTGGAGGGTTCTCAAAGCTTCGGAAAACCGAGCGGTTTAGGCTTCTTAGGGTTTCGGGTTCTTCGGGTTCTTCGGGTTCTTCGGGGTTAACGGCTAGGGTTCTCATTTCGGGTTCTTAGGGGCATTGTGCTTTCGGAGCAACTTTCTGGCATTCGGAGGGCCTTCAAACCCCCAGCCTTCAAACAACAAGACCCGAGACGAGGAAGGCCCTGCCTATCTGGATCGCGTGATCCCGGAGGCCGAATTCGGCTCTTATTCTTAAGATCCTGGAAGAGCTTTGGGGGGGTTGCTTTCGGGGTTTCGGGCTTGGAGTGTTCAACTTTAAAGGACGAGCTGAGGCTCTGTATTGGGGGTTGAGCTGATGGAGGTGTCGGCTTGCTTGGGCTCAGCATGTTCGGGTTGGCCACGATCGGCGGAAGCACCCACCTGGTTCCATAGCTAGGAGAGGGACCAATGTCGCTAGAACGCGGAAGGTCGTAGGCTCGAAGGCGTCCAGCTTGTAGCGTGTTTTGCTTTTATGTGGCCGACGAAGATGAACCACCGTCGATCACGTCTTCTGGGCCGGGCCTTGGACTAGCTTTGGCCATATTTTTGGGCTCTGCACCTCCCTAAGGTCCTCAAGGCATGTCGCTTAGACAACCAATCGTGCATGGCATGTGTTGCAAGACTTTGAAAGATCGCGGTGAGCTCCTGAGGGCTATCGCCCGAATGACCTCTGGAAGAAGATTCGCCCGGGTCCGATCAACACGGCCCAGCAGCTTGGAGTGACCTACAGCTTCCATGCCTGCAAGCTTAGACTCCCCCGGAAGTCCCACAGTCATGGAGCTGTTTCAGAAATTCGTGTTGCAGAAGCCCAGACTAGCCTCGTTCACTCTACATCCTCCAAGGATCGGGGTCTCGGCGATGCGCGCTGGTCCATAGTTGAAGCGCTCTCCGTGCCCGTGGGAGAAAAGGGCGCCCGTCTTCGCTGTTGCCTTTGATCGTACCCTGTGTTGTAATCTTGTGTTTACAATATAAAGTTTGGCCCTTCGCATTCCCATTTCAGCCCACCGGGGTGAACAGCACGTGCCGAAGCCCAACAAGCCTTAGCAGCCTCAGCAGACCACATATATCCCCCATTCCCCACCTCCTGACTCCTTACCCTGCGTTAAATCCTGGCCTGAAAACCATTCAACCTTCGCTTGAATCCCCTGCAAGCTCCAACCCTAATCCATGCCTATAGTCACTGACCACGTGTGACACCATTTTTAAAGAGCGCAGTATGTGTGGCAGGCTAGGGAAGGGTAGGGTGGGGTACCGTAGGGTAGTAGGGTATGGTATGGTACGGTACTGTACGGCACGGCACGGTAGGGTACGGTACGGCAGGGTATGGTTTGTGTGGTAATTACAGTATGTACATTACTCTATATGTCATGTTTTCCATGGTTATACATATTTTCCAATATGTACATATATGCAGTATACACGCACACAAGTAAATAAATGCATACCTGTGTATTTTTTGTATATATATATATGCACACACACACATGTACAAGTCTTGGCAAACAACCACACTCGCGTGCACATACATGCGTACATACGTACTTATTAACTATATAAGAAAAGGATACATAGATAAACACGTATAAACAATACATACATATATATATATACACATACATACACATGTCTATGTCTATGTGTTTATATTTATATATATATATACGCATAGAGACAGGTCTGTGTGTATATGTTACATACGCCCAGAGAGCGCCAGCACCCCTCCTATCAGGTTATCCTCGAGCACCTGCAGAAGGGCCCGGAACTCCTGGAGGGACTTCTAAAGAAGGTGGGCGAGGAGGCTCCCGGATTGGGGTAGTTTAAGGTATTTCTAGGGTTTAGGGCCTTTAGGGTTTAGGGTCCAGGGTTTAGGGTTTAGTTTCGGGTTCAGGGTTTAGGGTTTAGGGTTTAGGATTTCGGGTTTAGGGTTTGGGTGTTTCAAGCTGGATAGCAACTGAATTATGGGGGCTCCCGGCTTTCAGCAGCTTCTCAGGGCTCTACACGGGTATGATGGGCCAAAGCGAAACGGTTTTGGGTTCGTGTGGGCGGTTGAGAAATCAAAACGGGGTGTATGTAGGGGTTTGGATTAAGGAGGGTTTTTGGAGGGTTGCAGGAATGCTGAATCGCATGGTTTTGTCAGTTGTAGTGCAGGGATGACACCAAAAAGAGCAAAATCTCGGGGGACACTCGACGGTCCATCTTGTCGTTTAATTTGCCAATGGCAGGGTAGCAGAGTGCCCAGAACCTTAAATTGGGTGGCCTCGCGAGCAGAGTATTCTACACCTGTTTGGGGGTATCGCTGCTTTATACTTCGTGCTGATTGCTGGGAGTAGAGGAGGGAAAAGGGGCCTCCACGTCAATCTGGCCACAAGCGCTTCAAGCAGTTGTTCGTCTTTCCGCTATTTTGGGCGTTGAGAGCTTTCGGGCTGCACCCAAGTTCAGTCAGCATGTTCGGCAGGATATGCAGAGCCTCCTGTTTCTGCAGGATGTCTCGTGGCCTGCAAGCCTTGTGGAGGGTGATTCAAAGTTCAGGGTTGGTGGCTGGCCATCTTCACTGTGGGGCTCGCCGTGCAGGGGCACACCCCTGCATAGCAGTCCCTGGTCGGGACCGGGCGCTCCACGAGCGTTGTGCCTAAATGAGTTCTTGGACCTCCGCCTCGAAAGAGTCGTAGGCTTTCAGCCCGACTTCAGCATGCAGCACGATTATTTTCGCCGGAATCTTGCAACATGAAGCGATTTGTTCAGATGTTAGTGGGAGTGGGGCTTTGGTTGCGGTGGTGGTGGTGGTAATGTTGGTGCTGGCGAGCACGAATGCTAGTACTAATACTGGTAGTAGTACTAGTCTTTGTAGTACCACCGCCACCACGAAGACGACGACCACAACTGCGGGCATCGCTACTCTCACTCCTACTCCTATTCCTACCCCTACTCCTACTCCTACTCCTACTCCTCCTTCTGCTTCTGCTACTATTTCAACTACCGGACCATACTCCTGCTCCCACCACCGTGACTGCGAGCGCTGTATATTGCTACCTTTAGTCCTGGCGCGTACTATTACTTTTCAGCTGCTGCCGCTGCGGCTGCCGCTGCTGCCACTAATCATTCCTCATGTCTCCTTTGCACGTTGTGCTACGACCACGGACATGTTGAAAACCGAGCTTTGCGGTGGTATTTTGATGTATAGGCCGCACATCCAGCATTTCGGCGCGTGATTGCGGCGGCGATGTGCGCAGCCGGAAGCACAACACGAAGCTTTTCCTCCAGCCGGTGGCCAGAACATCTGTCAAAGTCCACATCTGTCTTAAGTGGCATGTTTGATCAGGTGGGTATGATGCCATGCGCCGTTATGTCGATGCAGTCTGGCCACCCATGATGCCATCCGCCTGCACGGACAACTTTCTGGGAGTGGTTACCCCCTGCTGCAGCTGAAGCGTTCAGCGGGAAGTGGGAGGGCCGCTGGGGAGTTCCCAAAAGTCGATGAGCAGAGATTAATGATTAATCTTCCAACAAATCGTGTTCGCAAAAAAAAAACCAACGGTGACTTGTCAACCAACTGCCAAGGTCAATCATCAGCAGCAGCAGAAGCAGAAGGGGACTGCATGAGGAATCATGTGCCTGTTAGAAGTTGAGAGACGATGGTGGGGAACATAGTGGAGACGGCACCAGGACACGGTGTGGCCTTGACCAAAATCTTGAAGCGATCTCTGCAAATTCCCTCCGTTGCAATGATCCGATTATCGGAATTCGATCGTATTGAAGACCCTAGGTCCCCCCGAAGCGGGTCTTTCCGGAGGCATTCGACCCCCAAGGGCTGGCGCTCCAAGTTCCGGGTGCAGCGTAACCGATCGAACCTGCCCTGTCTCGTGGGAATCTGGCAAGAGGTGTCTGTTTTGCGGGTGAACCTTCCTCGAAAAAGTCCAGACAAAGACTGTCGAGTGTGAATGATGTAGGGTTTCTGGAATCAGGGTTTGGCTCGCGGCTTTTTTTGGGATTACGGGGTGGTGACCTCATTGCCCGAAGACTGCGTTGCATGGCCTGTATATGTATGTGTATCTGTGCACCTTTGTCTATGCAATTACACAGGATACCCGCATGGGATGGCTGGGTTCGTTTTGTCAGACATAAGACCCCTGCTCAGACTCCCTGCATGGTCGCTCCGCATGCACACTCGCGTGGGGAGCCATAGGGAAGGGATGGGGGAGTTTCAGGTTTGAGGCTCTTCTGTGGCGCAAGGTCTGGGTTCTAAGTAGAGGTTGAGAGTTAGTCTGCTGTTTGGGGTTCGGGGGTCTTGCAAAGTTCACCCATGGATTGTGATTGGGAACTCTCAAGGCCAAGACTGATCCCCAAGACTTGACCCCGAGCCCTTTAACCCCAAACCCCTAAGCCATGCAGAACCACCGTGCCAGCCCAAACCCGGAAGGCCCAAAGCCCCAAATAAACTATGCCGTCTGAACCCCCACAGTTGGAAGACCCAGCCCAGGCGTGTTTCAATACGAAGCTTTCAGCTCAGGGACTCGGACAGTCCAATTTTGTTGGGGAGGGGGGGTGAACTCGGGGGCGGGGGGGGGGGGGGGGTTTGAAGGAACTACCCGAAGGTCCTCGAGCGCTAAGAAAGAAGCCTAAGTAACCCGTGCAGACGGGATTGCTGCCGGCTGCACTGTCGGAGAGACTTTCGGCTGTTTCGGCACCTTCCCTTCGTTAGGTGTGGGGCTTCGGGGCTTCGGGTTGAGGATTGAGAGCTTAACGCTTCGGGTTTGGGGCCTAGGATTTGGAGTTCGGGCTCCGGCTTAAAACGTTCTCCCCACGTTGAGAAGACACGAGTACCTGGCTTTGGTTCAGCCTGGCGCCCGGATGGCCGTGGAGGTGTTTGACTTCAAGATGCATGAAGGCCAAGAGGCTTAGGGTTGGCTCAGGTTACGGGTTATGGCCCGAGCCTGGGGCTTGAAAATGCTTGGTCTGGTGGCTCAAGACTTGCTTGGCAGCTTGGCATCAGAGGCCCTGAGGATGAACCAAGCCTGTCAGCAACGCGACTTCTCACAGGAAGTCGTGGCAAATCTCGAGGCGTAATGTGGCCGTTCGCCTACAGCACAGGAAACTGATCTCAGCCTCCGCTGCCGGAGCTGAGAACTTACACAAAACCCAATGGAATCTCCGGGTGTCAGCCTAGCCTGGCCCTCCACAAGGTCTCCAGTCTCAGAAAAAGAGGAAAGTCTTCAAATGCAGCCCTTGAATGCAAGACCACTTGGTAAGTCACTTCTAAGCGCTCGAGACCCGAAGTTGCAGCCCCCAAAAGCTCGGGCGCAAGGCCTGTTTAGGGGGCCTAAGGTTCAAGGCTGGAGCTTACCAGAGCCGGGGCTTCCAGGTTTCCGCAAGGGGTGTGAAAAATCTGGGAAAAAATTGAGATGTTCGCGATTGGGGGAGGCAAGAAATCTCCACATTGACATCATGCTACGGCCGCGGCCCAAGCTGAGACATCCCGGCGATCCCAATTTCGTGAGACAACGAAGCTCAAGCGAGCGATGGCCTCAACCCGATGGACCGTTGCTGGAATGCTTTGACCGGGAAAGCAGACCGTTAGCCCCTTTAGAACCTTGATATGCTCCTTGCAAGATTTTGAACGATACCCCTTGAGGTCAAGTGCAGGCTTCTACTTCATGGTCCGGGTGCAGGCATACGCCCGGCTTTCACCGCAGTCATGAGCTGCAGCAAATTTTTGTTGCAACCTCGGGAGAACGATGCGGCTTCAGTACGAGGTCATGGGCTCGAGGGTTGAAGGATTCCGTCATGATATCCATGTAATCAAAGTACTCATGGTACAGGTTTGGCACACGTTTGGGCGGTGGGAACCTCGGAGCTTCAAGCCAAACCCTTTGAAACAC